AAGGTTACAAACACAATTCACAAAAACATCGTTAAAATAAGAAAGGCGCACTGTAAAATTTTTCTGGTAGTAGTATTCGAGATTGAAGTTATCCAAATACATTGTGATTACCAATACCAATTTCTTACGACTTTTAAAAAATGCGTTTTGGTCAAATAAAGTGATCAAATGCCGCGCATTAAGAAATTTTCTGGAATATTATTTTTATTAACGGGCACTCGACTATAGCGTTCTCCCTTGTTTTAAATATACATGTGTATGCGTAAACTTGCTCATTATTTATCGCGAAGTTGTAATCGTATAAGTGTATATGCATATATATACAAAATGGAAGGACTGAAAATGGTTTAAATGAGTTCTTTATAAGTGTAATTTACCGAGTATCAGCATTGATTACTAACATATATTTATTTACTTGAATATATTGTTATTATGGAGACTGATGCATTTCCGATTTCCGATCCCGTTTAATGCCAAAAATTTCAATCGGATCAACGGAGACACAGTTTTGAAGGTGTTTTAGAAAAACTTAACTTGCCCTTTCCAATTTCATTGTCCGTTCGTAAGCCGAAAATCCGTGTTATTCCAGACAGGTAAATAAAATAGCGATTCAGGCGGGGCAGCACAACTGCGACATTGTTTGAATGCAAGTATCTGTTAATAATAGAACGATTACCCGACGAGGTCAACAATTGGCACACAAGCCCATGGAGGAGGCTGCAAGGCTGAAAAGTACAGCCCGTTTGAATATTTAAATGGAACACCGCCGCAGTAGTGCCTGCACAAAGACTTTTTCTAGCCACAGTCCAGTTGTCATCCCATGAATGGTCTGCATTACACCGGTATTATGGGATTTGAGGTTAAATGCTTTTTCAGAGCTGTCAACTGAGTTTGAATTGAATGTTTGTCGAAGACTCTCCGAAGTGTTTTGACTCGGCGGGCGACAAAATCTCACGCGGGAGGCGGAGCTATCCGAGGACGCCATTGCTTGGCCCAGCAGCTGTTCTTACGCGCGCACATGTCCTGCAGATTGTTCCTAGGGACGAGCCAGGATTCCCAATTAGGTGCCGTGGCAGCCCCAAGAAAAGTAGAGGGAGGAGCGGACTGGCAGCGCACGCCAAGGATAAATCGGGAAAAAATAAATGTATTATGTCGCGAGCGTATCCTGTGAAAGGGACGGAAAATAGGTCTGAAGCGGGGTGGATTTCGTGACGAGTCTTTTAATGGACGACAAGACCACTGCTTGCGGCTTTTTCGGCATGAGTTGCTACAACCTTTTGTTGCTTGAATTCTGTGCCACGCCAGCAACTCACCGAAAAGACCAACCACTTTTAACTCATAGGAATTAGTCGAGTGCATTCGATTGAAAAACTAATTTGATTTATTTATCCGAATTCCAGTCTCCTGTCCTGGATTTTGCCCCCATTGACATTGACACCCATAACTAGACATAGAGCTGCCCTTGGAAAGCCCAGGCAAGAACTTAATGCTTTTCTGGCCGATGTCAGCTGGACAATCTTTGAAAAAATGGGGGCTTGCCAAAAATGGCGCATGCAATTGGGAATGGGAAAAAAAGTATACACATTAGCAAAATGTGAATTTGAATATGAGAAGTATATACCATTTTCATTTGTTTGATTGATTGTATTTGTTTTATTCCATATATGTTTATAGGGTTGGAAAGGTTAAATTTCAAGGTTTCCAATTAAATTGCTTTTATCATAAAGATGCCATAGGAATAATTACTAAATGTATGCAAAATTTAATCTTTGTTGTTTCCGATCATATTCTCGTTTACTCTGAGCTAACAATTTTAGCTATATCTAAAACTAGGAATTAAGTTTCAAAAATGCTGAGCGACTAAGAAGCTTTGATGACTTTTTACATCAAATGGCTCTTGGAGACGACCCAAATACTATTTAGGATATTTCCTGACTCATCTTTGCGGTCTTATTAAGCATCAAACGCATCAGCACATACAATTTTTGATTTTTTGTATGGTGAAAAAACTTAGTACATACAAGTTCCTTTTGTTTTTATTTTCTTTATGAAAAGAACAAGATTTTTTTGCTATATTTGAATATTCACGGAATGAACAAATATGCTTTGATAATAACTTTTTAAGCGCCCAACAGTCAAAACTTGCAAACATGCACTCACGCTTGTCCCCCAGAATCAGTTTTTGGTTTTGCCGCAGGGCCTTTAAGTGGATTTACACATGGAATCGAATCCCACCGCGGCAAGTCCTTGTTTTTTCAGGAAGATACAATATTCACTTATATTTCTATCGCGACTATGAGGAAGCTCTTACAACTTTTTTTGAAATTCCTAATTTGTAGTACATCAATTAACTAATTTGTAGGTCACATGTTTAAATATCTTACTTATTCTCTTAAAGCGATTTCTTAATACAAGGACACGTTTTAAAGATATTTACCACAAATCTGTATCATAAAAACATTAAAGCGATTTACTGCTGTTATGCAATAGAGTTCTTTCAGAAAAAATGTTCTCTTTTACTAATCGCCGCAAAAATATAGTTTTAAAAGTGAGTCCGGGTCATACTAAAACCCACTTTTTAGTTCGCTTCTTATCTACGAGATCCTGGAATTATTATTGTCACACATACGGTTGAATACTACTGATCACTGTTATAAGAAAGCATAATCTTGGCTGCGCTTGAAAATCGGACGCAAGGCTTAATTTGTCTGCGGAAAATGTCAATGCCACCCACAATAATATGCCAAGATGAGATTTAGTCAGGAGGGAAGTTTCCCCTGATCATGTCGCCGTCTACGGACTATCCTATACCAACAGTCAACGGACTTCCCCATACGTGACGTTTCCCAACTCAAGCACAAACGCATGAAAAATTTCCCAATTAATCATAACATGATGTACCGTTCTGTGCTTATCTCATTTGCACTCTAATGAGGAACGGCCAGGTATTGGGCGATGCAGCTAGCCACTTCAGGCATTCCATGAATGAAATCGCACTCACTGGCAGAGCGGTTTCTGTATCTAATTGTTTTATAACTTCCTTTCTTACCATTTATGAGTGCCTCATTGTTTTAGGTAGGTTGCAGTTTACGACCAGTCGAGCTGTGAGACGATTGCGCGGAAATACCGGCGCTCGTTACTTAAAGAATCTGCTCGGAAATTCCCAGGCGGCTGCAAGCCCAAGCCCCAGCCTACGCAAATAAGCTCGTGGATTTTTATAACCTCACCACCCCTCAATCCAACTACCTACCTGTCACCGTTGAGCCGTTTATAGGTCCACCCAGATCGCAGGCACTACTCACGGCAATCCCAGTTTATGAATGAATCCCTTAAAATGAGAAGAGTCGTGAATGAAATGTTCTACGCGGCCTGCCCTTTATGGCAGGTTCTACATACTTCGAGTCCTACATACCTGACACACGCAACACAGCCAAGCCTTGCACTCATTAGCATTGGAACAATGAAGTTGGACGTAATCCAAATGATTTCCCTTTTGTTTTAAATGGCATGACAGAAGGCTTAAGGCGTTAGGATTGGCTAAAGCAGCTTCTTGAGATAGCAACCAACTTATAGAAAGTATAAAATGCTTTGGTTAAGGGAAAGCAGATTGCTACTAGACATTACGTTTTAATAGAAATTGATTGCGGCTGAGACAGCCGCGTTGATAATATGTATATAATATATCTACAAATATTTAAAGAACATTTTTTGGATTCGTTTTTGAGAGACACCATCCTGTTTACAAAGCATAAAAAAGTCTATTAAATAGGGTATAAGCCGGAACTTGCTGGCTGTATAGTGTAAAATATAAAAATCTTTGTCCGCACGCATGAAGTGCATTGTTTTAACGAAACGCATTTGTGACACTTTTGACGGTCGCATGTTACATTTAAAGTATGTTTGATACATAATGAACGTGTAGAAGTTTGGAGTTTACGTGGTTTCTGGGTCGTTTAACCAATCACAGAAGTTGAATACATTACTTTAACATTAAAATAGAAATTTTAAAAAATGGATGAGCCCTAGGGGTATTGAATAATAGTCAGAAGAAAAATATACACTGAGTTATAACATTAAACGTATCAACTAACATTCATATCCCTTCGGTGTCCATTGTGTATTGTATCTTTTTCTCCTAACCTGCCTCCCACTTTGCGTTAAGGCAAACGCCCACTAGAGGAAATAAAGTTTTTCTGAGCATCCCCAAAGACAAAGCTAAGGCCAACTGTACCATCTGAGATACACGCTCAAACCTTTCTCGGCGCCCTGAGTGTCAGGCCCGCTGGAAATCGCTGCGATTACTCCCGGTCCCTTGGCCCACACTTTGCATATTCAGGACACCCCAAACCCACCCTCGGCGAAAGCACTTAACTCAATAATAAATTGCCGCCAAAGCGAGCCCATGATAACCAAACCGCAGATAACTGAGTTACACTTTCGGCACAGTATCTGTATCTGGTCGGAGGGCAGGACGACGGAACAGGAATGGGGTTGGGAATGGGAATGGGAAAGGAGGCCAGAGCCAAGCCCTAAGCCAACCACCCGGGAGGCGCTGGGGGTTTGCCAGTGGGTAAGCGTAAAATTCATAATCGTGAATGTTTTACTTAAAGTTGGGCCCGAATATGAAGCGCAGGGATCGCCTGGGCCCAATAAATAGAGTACGTATATACGCACAAGTGGTGGTTCGTGCGTAAAAAGCGCAAGTGATGGAAGCTGCCCCGCCACTCGAGTGGATTGTCGATTTTCCCGGCAGGAAAACTACGCAGGACTACACGCACACGCCGGATCCTTATGTACTTCCGCTGCGAGTGTGTGCGTGAGCGGGCCGCCATTGTTGTGCAGGCGTAACCAAAACCGAAACCGAAACAGAAACCACCCCGGGCATTTCTCTCGCTCGCACATCCCCAGACAGACAACAAATCGATGAATGAAGCGGCCCTCGGTGTGCGTGGCGTGTGCGTGAGCGCAGGACGAGCGAGTGCGTTTGTATAGGTAGCGTAGGTAGGCAGAGTCCTGGGCTTAAATTAGGAGGCGTCGGGGCAGGAGAGCTCAGTTCGAGTCGAGATCTCGCAGCGCACACACAGCTCGCCCATCCGAAGCCATCCCAGCCCCAGCTGATTCTCAAGTGTTCCAAGCAAGTGCTCTGGTGTCGCGGTAGTCGTTCCTTAGTCCCGTCACCGAACCAACCAAGTAGCGGAATGTCGAAGATTAACCTGCACCCCCCGCAAACCTACTCGCGCCTGTTCCGCCCCTGGGATACGCAGCGCCAGGCGGCCGCCTCAGCGCCCAGGATGGTGAAGCAGGAGCCGGAGACCATCACCATCAAGACGGAGCTGCCGAGCACCAGTTTCGGCCACGACTGCCACCGGGACTTCTCGTCCGCGTCCTCCTCCTCGTCGAGCAGCAGCAACAGCAGCAAGTCCTGCTACGAGGACGGCCTGAACCACAGCAGCTACACCCGCACCTCCACTCCGCTCCTGGACGCCGCTCCGCACCCGGTCTTCCCCCACCCCCACCCGTCGCCCTCGGACCCGCCCTCCGCCAGCTCCGGGTCCTCAGCCCCGCCGCAGCAGCACGCCCCGTTTCTGCCGGCCGCCAGCGACCTGTACTATGCCGCCGCCGCCGCAGCAGCTGCCGCTGCCACTGCGCCTGCCGCAGCGTCCGGCTTTGGCATGGATCCCTTCACGCTGGGCCTGATGGAGCAGGAGTACGCACGCGTGATGGCCGAGGACGCGCAGCTGAAGGCGCTCAACGCCCGCAAGCAGCGCCCAAAGAAGTTCAAGTGCCCCCACTGCGACGTGGCCTTCTCCAACAACGGCCAGCTCAAGGGCCACATCCGCATCCACACCGGTAAGTCGATCAAAAGAGGTCCTCTCCTGGCAGTCGCACTAACGATTCTACCCTTGCAGGCGAACGTCCCTTCAAGTGCGACGTGGACACCTGCGGCAAGACCTTCACGCGCAACGAGGAGCTGACGCGCCACAAGCGAATCCACACAGGACTGCGGCCGTATCCTTGCAGTGCCTGCGGGAAGAAGTTTGGGCGCCGCGACCACCTGAAGAAGCACATGAAAACGCACATGCCGCAGGAGCGCCAGCTGGGCCCGGCCATTTTTGTGCCCATGTATCCCTACCTATATGGCTACTGATGGGAAAAGCCCGGCTCCTCGCCCCCAAGCCCCTTCTGCGATCTGTGAAGCGCTTGCACGCTTTAAGCGAGCACAACCGAATCCAGCGAACCCAATGCCGGCCAATACGCATGGCCAACCTAGGACAGAACTACCTCAGCCGTACCTGGCGCAATATGGCGCGCTCACCAAACTCAATCAACGCTAGCTATCTCCGAGACCCCCGACGATATATGCAAATATTGAGATATTTATTTTTTAACGCATATTTACACTCCAGCTACGTGACTAGTGATGGGCGCACAGAAATCCCGCACTTGTGTAAATACCTCCTTAAGTGATCCTTTCTCATATGCTAAGCGATTAAGAGATTTAAGAGATTTTCGGCTTGTATGCTCGCATGCAAAGAGTCTTTACTAAAAATAAGCTGATTTTTAAACAGTTTTATAAGCTGAACGCGGCTACCAATAAATATACGATTTACACCTTGATATTATACGAACATAGTTAAATATTGAAAGTTTCATTATACGATTTATGTTTACAACAAAAAATACAAAAAGCAGCAAAATACTAAACCTCTTTTTTAATTTTCACCTACAGTAGATCTTTCTGGGCTTAAAACAGGATTAACCACCTGATAAGAAGTAAATCATTAAGGTCATTTATAATCTTTATTATCTATGTCGATCTCCTGGGGCCAAATGAGCATAAACCATTTTGTTTACATTTTAATGACTCTTCGAGACAGTGTCACTTCCCGCTAACCAGATAATTCGCAAATCGCTTGTCATGCCGACAAAATCAAAGGGAAATCTTAACTCCTAGTGCCGATGCCATCAAAGGGTTAAAATCCACAAGTCACTTGGGCCAAATCTATCCAGTTTCAATTCATAGCTGAGCAGAAATAAAACAACGGCCCAGACGGGGGCAGACAAGCTGGAAAGGGAAAGCCACGACAATTAGCAGCGTTTGCTCTCTAACTGCGTATCAAAATCAAGTGAAGCCAGGCACTGATGTCGCTTGGCAGTATTTCCCACAGCTCCCCAGATACAGATCTCTCCACGTCTACTCGCCATTACTCACCTGACAGCTTGCGTCATTCATAAGGACAATGGAGTGGTCCACCTGAGTAAAGCAGCCGAGACACAAAGTCTGCTAGAAGTCGAAAAATTATCTATGGTGTTTTTAGAATTTGTTATGCGAACAAGCGATCGATCCCTGGTCACCATCAGTGTGACTTCTACCAGCACAATAGATGCAATTTATGCAGGCGACTTTTGGATCCGAACTATAGCTGGTACCCGATTTTCGGCCAACTTCCAGGACAATGGGAAATTTGTCCGCTTGATAGAGGCGTGCAGGTCTTACATTACCTGTCCCCTACCTGCTCATTGTTCCTTAGGTCCTGAGAATATTTTTCTATCTGCCAGACAGTGCGTCGTCGTTCACACCGCACAAGTGGCACAATGATCTATAACGTGCCCCTTTCAATCGACGCTATACAATTTCGTTATTTGCTCCAGTCTCAGAGATGCTCTTAAACTGCTTTGGCCAACACTCGAGACCCAAAGTACAGGCACCCATTACTCAAAGTGTTTATATATTACCCCGAATTCATGCGTAATTGCTGGCAATTAATAAGAGGACGTTTTGGTTTGATTGACATTCGATAATCCAGTGAAAAGAGCATTCTCTATATTTGTTCCCTTTTACCGATATTTTGGAGTTATGCCAGGGTAGTAAATAGTAGCTTAAAAAACAGTCTAACAATCGAGACATAAAAATTTTTTGTCATGGTAATATTAAATCAAAACATGACCGACAATTAATTTTCTAACTTAAATGTGACTAAAGTAGCTATTGTACTACCGTATAAAAACAATTTTAAGATATACATACTTAAAAAACACCATTTGCAACTACTAAAGTAAATAGCTTCTATGTCGTTTCTATGTGAGCTATATAAATACGTCTGATCTGGTCCGATTTCAGACTTAACCCGCGTGAACATAGTTTATAACGAATACGACAAATTTAAATCGATCAATTTTACACTTAGGTCGCAAAGATGTTGAAACAGACATTTTATTGTATTTGCTTTACTGTTTTTATTTACCCCAGAAATATTTAGCGCCGTTTTTAAGAAATGTCAAAAAAACTTTAAAAAATAGGAAACAAAATTTTTACAACTACAAAAAAACGTGCAACTTTTTCGCAAATTCGCTAAAAATAATTTTTCACATATACTATTCGGTAAATAAGTAAGCACGTGTTACAGGATTTGACCAAAAAAAATTTTTTTAAATTTACCAAAAGACGTCAAATTTTAAAAAGATCTTCTGTAATTATCCAACTGACTTCATTTTATTGTGTATTTAATCCTCTGAAATCTCTACTTTTAAAATACATTTTTATAAAAACACAAATTTCGTAGTTACTTAAAAGTAAAAACAAATTAAATTTAAAACAAGGAAGAACGCTAAAGTCGAGTACCTCGACTATCAGATACCCGTTACTCAGCTAAATGGAGATATGCAAGCAACAAAGCGAGATTAAAATGCGCCACCTACCGGCGGTATACAGATTAAGCGTTTTGGGCGTTAGAGTGGGCGTGTCATTTCTTTTTGGATCAATCGATAGGTATTGACGAGACCAATACATTTCAGTTAAAATTTTTTATCTAGCATGAAAATTGTGGGCGTCACAGGTTTTCGCGGTTTGTGGGCGTTAAAGTGGGCGTGGCAAACATATTTTTGGGTCAATCGATAGGTATTGATGAGAACATTACATTTCAGTTAAAATTATTTATTAAATTTATTCTAGCATCAAAACTGTAGGAGCCACAGTTTTGGGCGGCTTGTGGGCGTTAGAGTGGGCGTGGCACTCTGCTGAAACAAACTTGCGCTGCGCAGGAATCTCAGGAATCTGCATGCCTAATCCCAGTATTGTAGCTTGTATTGTTTCCGAGATCTCAGCGTTCATACGGACAGACGGACAGACGGACATGGCTAGATCGACTCGGCTAGTGATCCTGATCAAGAATATATATACTTTATGGGGTCGGAAACGCTTCCTTCTGCCTTTTACATACTTTCCGACGTACCTAGTATACCCTTTTACTCTACGAGTTACGGGTATAACAAGGAAGAACGCTATAGTCGAGTACCTCGACTATGAGATACCCGTTACTCACCTAATGAGACCAAAGGGAAATGGAGATATGCAAGCAGCAAATCGAGATTGAAATGCGCCACCTACCGGCGGTAGACAGATTTAGCGTTATGGGCGTTAGACGGGGCGTGGCAAACTTTTTTGGGTCAATCGATAGGTATTGACGAGAACAATACATTTCAGTTAAAATTTTTATTCTAGCATCAAAACTGTAGGAGCCATAGTTTTGGGCGGCTTGTGGGCGTTAGAGTGGGCGTGGCACTCTACTGAAACAAACTTGCGCTGCGCAGGAATCTCAGGAATCTGCGTGCCTAATCCCAGTATTGTAACTCTCATAGTTTCCGAGATCTCAGCGTTCATACGGACAGACGGACAGACGGACATGGCTAGATCGACTCGGCTAGTGATCCTTATCAAGAATATATATACTTTATGGGGTCGGAAACGCTTCCTTCTGCCTGTTACATACTTTCCGACGAATCTAGTATACCCTTTTACTCTACGAGTAACGGGTATGAAAATTTAGGACCTGAGGAGAGCGTACAAAACATTTAAAAAAACCCTTTTCAAGGACATTTAGCACAGGCCTGAAGCTTTAGTAGTTCACGTTAGGGGCGTACGAAAGTTAGATTTTTATACCCGTTACTCGTAGAGTAAAAGGGTATACTAGATTCGACGGAAAGTAGGTAACAGGCAGAAGGAAGCGATTCCGACCCCGTAAAGTATATGTATTCTTGATCAGGATCACTAGCCGAGTCGATCTGGCTATGTCCGTCTGTCCGTATGAACGCTGAGATCTCGGAAACTATAGGAGCTACAATACTTTTTTTCAGCAAGGTGCCACGCCCACACTAACGCCCACAAACCGACCAAACCTGTGGCGCCAAAATTTTCATGCTAGATACAAAATTTTAACTGAAATGTATTGGTCTCGTCAATACCTATCGATTGATCCAAAAAAGTTGGCCACGCCCACTCTAACGCCCATAACGCTTAAATCTGTCTACCGCCCACATAACCATATATTGAGATCACGGGTAGGTGGCGCTTGCATATCTCCATTCCCTTTGGTCCCTTTAGTTGAGTAACGGGTATCTGATAGTCGAGGTACTCGACTATAGCGTTCTTCCTTGTTATACCCGTTACTCGTAGAGTAAAAGGGTATACTAGATTCGTCGGAAAGTATGTAACAGGCAGAAGAAAACGTTTCCGACCCCATAAAGTATATATATTCTTGATCAGGATCACTAGCCGAGTCGATCTAGCCATGTCCGTCTGTCCGTATGAACGCTGAGATCTCGGAAACTATACAAGCTACAATACTGGGATTAGGCATGCAGATTCCTGAGATTGCTGCGCAGCGCAAGTTTGTTTCAGCAGAGTGCCACGCCCACTCTAACGCCCACAAGCCGCCCAAAACAGTGGCTCCTACAGTTTTGATGCTAGAATACATATTTTAACTGAAATGTATGTTCTCGTCAATACCTATCGATTGACCCAAAAAAGTTTGCCACGCCCACTCTAACGCCCATAACGCTTAAATCTGTCTACCGCCGGTAGGTGGCGCATTTCAATCTCGCTTTGCTGCTTGCATATCTCCATTTCCCTTTGGTCTCATTAGCTGAGTAACGGGTATCTCATAGTCGAGGTACTCGACTATAGCGTTCTTCCTTGTTTTCATTCTCGTTTGGGGGTGTCAAAGCCCATTTTAGACCATAAGTTTGTTCGGCAATATTGCTTAATTTCCTTTAAAAATTACGTTCCCCCATTCGATTTTTAGGCACCCAAATCGACCCACCCTAATGTACATACATATATACAAATGTGTACATTGTACATATAAAGTTGCACTAGGTTTATCAGTGTAATTCTGCATTGTTCCATACCAATATATTGCAATATTTTTTAACAAGAAAGTAGTTGGCTATCAATAACCTATTGACATTTCTGAACTATTGCCGTGTAGGTCACTGGCCATTCATGACCACAAAAAGGACAAACACGATTCCTCGGGTGGTCCGAAGAAAGTTCGCAACGAGGTAATTGCCAGGACTACCAGTACTTCTTTCCTAGCAGCACCTCTGAACCTTCTGCCCACACAGAGTGAGAAATTGAAATGTCTTTTGTGCCACTAATAGAGAAATATACGGGCCATAATTTCGCATTTCTACAATAGCCGGCCGAAGCAATTGGATGCAGGGCAGTGCGAAAACCCAAGGATCAAAACAAGCCCAGAGTGAGCATAATAAAAAATGGAGTCGCAGCTCAACGGGTCTGGCTACCTTTCACAGCGCCAGTTCTCAGCCAAGCCTGTGCGACTGTTTCATCCCCTTACCCACCAACCCTCATCCCTTAGCAGCAAGCATAGGGATGAATGGACACAGGCATGCCCGAGGCAGGGGTAGAATCTTCCTGTTCAAAAAGTCAGAGGATCCATTTAATTGGAAAATTTATTGGCCGACAGGAGCAACATCCCCGCAAGAATAGGAGACAGTTGGTCTGGCCTTCTTGCTGGCTTTCATTTGGCCTGTCTGTTTTGCGGTTATAGAAAGTCTTTTCCGATGAATAGACGGGTCTGATCTATAAAAAAGTAATGTCAACTTCATGCCCCAGTTTATATAGAACCACTTTTCAACATGGGTGGTGACCGAATAGGTATTTCTATTGATAGGCCACTGCTGTAGATTACGAGACTTTCCATTTAAGTATGTTGGCATAGACTCTTCTCGGGAGCTTGGAGTTGCCTAATATTCCCAGTTTCGACGCCCTTCCTCCGGTCTTAGTGGTCTGCGATCGTATTTTCCAGGGGTCTGTCCGCAGACCTTAGGCGGAAAAGTGGGTATGTCCCGACAGCCGCTAAACGATGAGTTTATCTGCATAAACACTGTTAATAAGTCGATTGTCCGCTGCGTAATCTCGCCCGAGCTAGGACCCTAATGAGCCCATCCTTGCGCGGTTTCTGCAAGGCTATATATATATACATATACGCAATTTGTCTTTTAATCCTAACGCCGCGTATCGCATAATGCTTGCAGTGCACAAACAGGGTAAGGCGATGGAAACTGACAAAACGTCTACTGGTTTGCCCAAATCCCCCCACATGGTCCTAAGCTGTTTTTTCGAGATAAGCCACAGGCGAAGAAGGTCGGAGACGGGACAATTGAACAATATCCGCACTCTCAGAAGAGTTCTGCTGCATGACGCAAGGAAAGGTGGCACCGATCAAGCCTCAATCAAAAACACGTCCATCAATTTTGCGCAGTCATTGAAATCAAACCAAAAACCAACCAAAACAGCACCCGACCGTCGCCCAGCAGGACATCAAGCCCGAATGGGAAACAGTAGGTGGTGCCGGAAGTGCCGAGCAGTTTTCCCATCAACATGAGCCCTGAAAACTAATCAAAACTAATGATGACGTAATTGGCTCTATCTATAGCAGCTCAGGGTGATTGGTCTTGGGTCGGAGTTGGAAGTGCCTCCCAAGACCAAGACAAAAAAAGTACAAGTCCCGGAAAAGAGACACATACATCCGTTGACAGAATAAAGGTAATTGATTCTTTGCAAAATTGAATGCAATGACACTTGGATTTTGCGCTCGCCGTGTGGTCTTCACTGTTTCCGATCCTACATATATACATAACTTAGCTGGAACGTTAGAAATGTTGTGACATTTGGGAAAAGAAAGATTCCTAAACAATTCATCAAGGCACTGACACCCCCAGACCTTTTTATAATTGACTCGTTCTTGCAGTTTCTGAGTTTAACCATGAGGAAGTGTAGCGTGTGCTCCTGTCAAGTCCCACTTCCCTTGGAAGGTGGTCCTGATAGATATATCAATTAAAAAACAAAGCGCATGTGTTTTCTATTTTGTAGTAATGACTGTTGTTGTATTTGTAAATATGCACATATAAATACTTGGCTGTCGGTAGCAGTAAATACAAAGTAGAGAGAAAAGTCAAACGAGTATATAAATATGGTAAATAAATATGGGTATGTGCGGGCAGTGAAATGCACACGTTCTCCAGGGTTCCAATGCCGCTGAATGTTCACCGTGAGCCTGAAGTAAGTGCTTATCTAATCTTGGGTATATAAATGTGCCTTGTGGTTGGCAAGCAAAAGGCATCCTTAAGTAAGGCACAAACATTTGAGCCACTGAGATTTCTTGGTGTCACTGCTCGTCCGCTTGCCGAGCAATGCTTTGAGGTTTATTCACAATTCTAATTTTTTCCTTAGTACAGCATTATGGCGGCCTTGTTCTTGTCGTCACTTGGCGGCTCCAGGCGTTGGCGGTCGCGGAGATCTCTGCGCTCCGCGTACAACAGAACGGCGATGTTAAGCAGCACCACGATGGTGGAAATCACGACCAGGTAGAAGCTGTAGCCAAGGTAGGCCAATCCAGTGCTGTACCAGTGCTGTTGTTGGTGCTCCGCAAGAAGCACGTTGAGGGTAAAGTATTTGTAGAACTGCACCAGCCATGCCCCAAATGCCACCACCTGGGCCCCCGCAGCTGATATATTAGCGGCCAGGAGAAGCACCATTGTTCCGCCTTTCTTGGCCGCAGAGGCTGACTTCAGGACTGCGGCGATAGCGGCCACTGCGCAGGCCAGAAGGCCAAAGCCAGTGCCTAAGGTGGTGAGAAGCCAGAGCCAGAAGCTGGTTTCGCCGTTCTCCGTGCGGACAAACGTGTAAACTGAAAGTAGGCGATCAAATTATTTTATTATGAATGTGAAATAATAGTTCTTCCCTGTACAGAAAATAAAGAACTTCTGTTTCAGTTATCACTTTCAAAAGCTTCACACTGATTACAATTTACCAGACTTATTGTAGTTTTCACTTTCGAAACATTGTCATATAATTTTCCTTCCCTGTAGCCTAGTACTCACATCGACGAAAACCGCGAGCTAACCATAGGAGTGAGCGAGAGGCAAACAGCCGGCTAAAGCTTTCCGTCGGGTCTGTTTTTCAGCGCGGTACTCAGATGAGCTAAGGAAATACCAGAAAAAATACCAAATTTCGAGAGTGAATTTTCGATGAACGGCGTTAGCCGCGGCCCAAAGAATAAGAAATTTAATCTTTGACGGTATTCGTACAGAAGCGGTGGGGAATTTAAAAATGAAAAATGGAAGAAAAACGGCTAAAGGAGGTCAGTGCAGATGAAAGAGGTCGCCTAATCCAAGCTGTTGCCCATTATTGTGGGACTTGACCGAAAGGAAGCAATACCACAACGAGGAAAATCATCAGAATAGTTGAAGCGCTGGAATAGATCCACTAGAGAATCCCAGTGGGAAGGAACATGGGACATCCCTCGATCTCCGACGAGCTCTCCATTGAGGACTCCACCTCCACCAGCTGCTTGACAGCTGAAGCGGAGATGGAGGACGCGCCGACTTCTATAAGCGGAAGAAAATAAGGTCGCCCACTAAGGGACAGCTGGGGGAGCCATTACCAGCCATTACTGGCCAGCCTATTGGGACTCGGAGCTCGACTACAGATGGCTCGGGAAAGATGGCGAAGCACCCGCGGGGCGAGAAGGAAGCCTTAAACTTCTAATTTACATAAATAAAAGCATTCGTTGAACATTTCATTTATTATACCCGTTACTCGTAGAGTAAAAGGGTATACTAGATTCGTCGGAAAGTATGTAACAGGCAGAAGGAAGGGTTTCCGACCCCATAAAGTATATATATTCTTGATCAGGATCAGTAGCCGAGTCGATCTAGCCATGTCCGTCTGTCCGTCCGGATGAACGCCGAGATCTCGGAAACTATGGGAGCTAGACTATTGAGATTTGGCGTGCAGATTCCTGAGCTTCTTACGCAGCGCAAGTTTGTTTCAGCAATGTGCCACGCCCACTCTTACGCCCACAAGCCGCCCAAAACTGTGGCTCCTAAAGTTTTGATGCTAGAATAAAAATTTTAACATAAGCATAGAGTAAGAATCTATATAGAGTCGCCAATTGCTCTGCCCGAACCTCTGCCCAACCTCTGCTAAGAGCCAATTAAAGGCCAAGTTTGAAGCTAACTTAGGTGCGTAGCAACAGCAATAGGGATTTCGATTAAAAACAAAAACAAAACAGTGAGCAAGAGCGGTGTAGAATGAGGTGGGAAGGAATTACAAGTTCGATCGAACTTGTCAAAAAGAGGGGAAATAAGCATTTTTCGCCTAGGTGGCATCATAGCCTCATTATCTAAAGAGAGCGGCAGAGCAATTGGCGCCTCTATATAGTTCATTACTCTATGACATAAGTGTATTCTTCTCATCAATACCTATCGAGTGACACGAAAAAAAATTGCCACGCCCACTCTAACGCCCCATAAGCCGCCCCAAACCTGTGACGGCCCACCAGTTTTCATGCTAGATAAAAAATTTTAACTGATATGTATTGGTCTCGTCAATACCTATCGATTGATCCATAACGCTTAAATCTGTCTACCGCCGGTAGGTGGCGTATTTTAATCTCGATTTGCTGCTTGCATATCTCCATTTCCCTTTGGTCCCTTTAGCTGAGTAACGGGTATCTGATAGTCGAGGTACTCGACTATAGCGTTCTTCCTTGTTTTTGTTTTGTGCACCAGCAGACTCATCTATTTTAAATAGCTCCAATTGATTTGTTTTCCGTTTGGCAACAAGCCCAGCTGATTGACAGTAAGACCATGCCACATGGATTGCGGGGTGAACTTTGAAAACTTCCGGGTCTAGGCTTATGTTATTATTTTGTTAATTATGTTGTGAGTACTAACATCGACGAAAACCGAGCTAGCGGTACTCAGATGAGCTTAGGAAATACCAGAAAAAATACCACATTTAGCGAGTTAATTTCGATGAACGCCGTTAGCCGCGGCCCAAAGAATAAGAAATTTAATCTTTGGCGTTGATCGTGCAAAAACTGTGAGAAAACTAAAAATTTAAAATGGAAGGAAAACCCAAAAAACGACTGCACGATAATAAAATTGAACGATCTCCGACAAGCTCTCCATTGGGGAACCAGCGGACTCCACCTCCACCAGTTACTTGACAGCTAAAGCGGTGATGGAGGACGCGATGGCTTCTATAGGGGGGAGGAAAAAAGGGCGCCGCTAAGGGACAGCTGGAGGAGCCATTAGCACCCATTACCAGGATGCTGGGCGACGGAACAACCCCGTTCCCAATCCGGCTCCCACTTATACAAGGTCCAATATGCCTATTGGGATTCGGAGTTGGACTGCAGATGGCGCAGGAAAATGGCGAAGCATCCGTAGGGCGAGAAAGAAGCTTTAAACTAATTTATGTACATAGTTTCTTTGCGCACCGGCAGACTCTTCGTCTTGTTTTCCGTTTATCAACAAACAAAGCTGCTTGACAGTAAGTCCATGCTATATGCATTGAGTGTGAACTTTGAAAACTTTGGTCACACTACAAAGAATACGATTTTTCGACGTCTTCCCACAGAGATCCAACCACCATCTACCATGCGTTGAACGGATGGTCCATAAGGTATTGGCGCTCCGAAAACTTCCCAGTTAGTTCCCCATCCAAATTTGACGGACTCTTTTATGCGATACTTAGGCGACGATTTTTCCGTGCAACTTTGACAGTGGAAATTGAAACATTCACTACGAAAACGTAAACAGTAACGACAGGGAACAATCGAAAATGGACGGCGCAGAAGCAAAAGGTTTGGTTAGATTAGCAAGATCAGCTGTTATCGGATGGTAGATGGTGGATATGCTCTGTGGGAAAGTGGGAGGCGGAGAAGCAACAGGTTTGGTTTGATTAGCCACAGGTCTTCAGATCAAGTGTTATCGGATGGTAGATGGTGGATATGCCCTTTGGGAATCAGAGTTTCACACTTGTCAAAAATCCCAACCGTTTCGAACGGATGGACTCTATGGGAAGGGGGTATTAGCCGATCTGAGTAACATCGAAATGTATTCAAAAAAATTATGACTTTGCCTTCGTATTTTTTGTGTATTATGGTATATATTGTTTTTATATAAAAGTGAAATATTTTGCGCTCTTTATTCGATTTTGATGATGCTACATGATGCTTGACTAATTTGAATTAATTTACTCCTTGGACACCGCAACGTGATTCTAAGTGGCTGCGCTGCAACAAAGTCAAATGGCTGGCCAGGATGCCAAGTCATCTGTCGGGGACAGGAGAAGAACTTCCTGACCCTGTAGCAAACCTACATATGTGCATTGTACATGAGTGGTCCGAGTTCAGAGAGATCGGCCATAAAATGAAAAAAATATGTTTGTAGTGAACTCAAATATTTTGAAAAAAAAAATTTTAAGCAAATTTAAAGGGGATTTAATAATCTTTTTTATACAAGCAAAAAAGTAAAATCAAAACTGGTTAGTATGATAAAACAAAATTGATAGAAAAAAAAAACCATAGTATAACTATCAAAAAAAATGAATACCAAAGCAAACAATTAAAATGCACCTACCGGTGTACAGATTAGTTATTTAGATCTGCAATTTTTTTTTATATTATTGAAATCATTTATTTTTTTTTTGATTTTCTTTTTTTTTTTGTTTTTTTTTATATATTGATAAATTACATTTGTTTTTTTATTAGATCAACTGTAACACATTTCTTTGTTAATCTGATCTATGAACAAACTTCGTGAATCAAATCTGATCAATATATATAGAATTATAAAAAAGAAGACAATAATGTAGTATTGATCAAATATATATTTATTCAACCTTCCTTCTGTTAATATTTGAAATTATATTTTTTTACTTATTAAAATTGATATAAAAGGATATTAGTTTGATATGAAAGCATATCATTTTCACATTAAAAATTACCATACTGGTATTAAAATACTATCGTTTTGTCACAAATTTGATATGTGCACATATCAATCCTGAATGAAAACATCATATTGATATGTTTGAAAACATAAATTTGACATGTTCGGAAATATCAATATGATAAGGCAACACAAGGGACCAAAATTTATGAACAATTATACATTTTTTCTGTGTATATATTTAAAAAATAATTTTAAAATTTGTCGTTTTTATAAAATTCCTCAAAATAAATAATAATTTTTTAGTTTTATAATAAAAATCAAAAATAATCATTATTCCTGAGGGAAAAAAATAAAAATCAAAAATAATGATCATTGTTGATCTAGATTATATTAGCTTCTATAGATTGTGGAAAAGAAGGCTAATATAACTATTTTGTTTTCCATGCGAGATACCTTTGCTGTGGTTTCAAAATGAGTTTTATTATGAAATAAATAAAACTCAGAAATAATCCTGAAATATGATTATAATAATATCATCTGCAAGGAAGCAGAAGGCTAATATAACCATTTTGTTTTCCATGCGAGATACCCTTGCTGTGGTTTCAAAATGAGTTTTATTATGAAATAAATAAAATTCAGAAATAATCCTGAAATATGATTATTTTTGATTTTTATAAAACTCAAAAAAATGATAATTTCTGATTTTTTGAAAATCAAATATGATTTTTTTTTAGTTTTAAAGTTAAACTAAAAAAAAATAAAACAAGGAAGAACGCTATAGTCGAGTACCTCGACTATCAGATACCCGTTACTCAGCTAAAGGGACCAAAGGGAAATGGAGATATGCAAGCCACAAAGCGAGATTAAAACACGCCACCTACCGGCGGTAGACAAATTTAAGCGTTATGGGCGTTCGAGTGGGCGTGGCAATTTTGGATCAGTCGATAGGTATTGACGAGACCAATACATTTCAGTTAAAATTTTTTATCTAGCATCAAAATTATGGGGTGTTAGAGTGAGCGTGGCAAACTTTTTTTTGATCAATCGATAGGTATTGATGAGAATAATACATTTCAGTTAAAATTTTTATTCTAGCATGAAAACTGTAGGAGCCACAGTTTTGGGCGGTTTGTGGGCGTTAAAGTGGGCGTGGCACTCTGCTGAAACAAACTTGCGCTGCGTAAGAAGCTCAGGAATCTGCACGCCAAATCTCAATAGCCTAGCTCTTATAGTTTCCGAGATCTCAGCGTTCATCCGGACGGACAGACGGACATGGCTAGATCGACTCGGCTAGTGATCCTGATCAAGAATATATATACTTTATGGGGTCGGAAACGCTTCCTTCTGCCTGTTACATACTTTCCGACGAATCTAGTATACCCTTTTACTCTACAAGTAACGGGTATAAAAATGATTCGTGAAGTGTTACATTGATATCTTTGAAGTTTAACAAGTTATCAAGTTCGGCCAGAAAATGCGGTCGAATTCCTATAGTGCACGGGTCCTCCAGCCATTGACCACATATGAACATATGTGCATATGTTCACCAAGTAGCCTCCTCCGCTTATTTTGTGGGCTTACCATCAACCGGAAAGGTGCGCACGCCGAATCCGGGATTCAGGTGCTGGTTGCCGTAGAAGAGTCCTAAGTTTACCTCGCCCTTAGCCTCCGCCGAGGAGTTGCGGCGTGGAGTCGCTTGAACCCAGTGGTTACTCGTCATGCTAACCAGCAGGAGGCCGATGGCTAGACAGCTGCCGAAGAAGGTGGAGAAGACCAACGCACGTGTGCGCATGCTCATCTTGATAGTGCTAGTGGAAGACCGATGGAAGGGGCAGAAGCGGGACTGTTTTCACCATTTAGAAATCTTCGGGCCAGAATCCAGCTTCAACAAAGAAAGTGGAATAAGTACCTACATGTGCCTTGAGGGCAGTGGCGTCTAAAAGCGCGTTACTCACCTTTTATGATTCAGTCGACTGTATCAATCACAATCAGCCTTGTTTTTTTTAACAATGGATTTTGTACAATTGATATAAACTGTTTTGCCTTTGTTATTTGTTTGTCAATACGGTAGCACTTAGTGGATCAGCTGTCTGGCAACGCCGGCAGTTCTTGCATATTTCGATAACGATATCATTTATATACCAAAATGTCATGCGATGACAACCCTATTAACCCGCAAAAATAGCGCGAAATTTTGGTCTTTACGGCGGAGAAAAAAAGTGAATTTTATGTAAATATGAGCGGCCGAAAGCACAGAGGCTCAGAGAATATGGAAAATCTTTGTCCTATCACCAGGTAATTGCTAATTCGCTGGTGGCCAGGAAGCGGCTTATAAACTACTACTCCCGTGACGTCACACGTACAGCAAGTTGGCCAAACGAGGTCAATAAAGTGACTATTAATTGCTGGTTCTTGACCGCTCCCCCTATGCTGAACAAGCACATTCAACCTGTGCACTTATAATTAATATACGACTATTGCAGAAAACGCTCGGCCAGTAAGAACTCCGCCTCTGCCGTGGGCGCTCTAGTTTCCGCCACGAAGCCGTCGCGCAACGAGCACCCTTCGTCGCCCTCGGCACTTACATTTGAGGCCCTGGAGGAAATGGGCATTGGGATGCTGGACTCAGAGGAGAGCAGCTCCTCAGCCCTCTCGGCCATTGCTTTGGCGGTCAGTGCAAGTGCCACCAGCGACGACAACTCCAACGAGACGACTCCGTACGTCAGTGTTCCCCGTATGGCGCACCAGCTTCATCATCCACAGCGACTGAGCTTGGGCTCCTCAGCGGACACCACTCAGGAAAGTATCGCTGTCGAGGATGCCATGTCCCTGACCGCCAGTCGGCCGAGAAGCTGCAGATCCTGGCACAGTCAAAGCGGTCGGCACTGGGCTCTGAGGGCGGCAGCAACTCAAATTCACCAAGCAAGCGCTTGCGAAACCCCTTGGCAGCAGTTAGCTGCAACAACCAGAGTGAGACGGCGGCCATGCTCAATTTTCAGCCCTCCACCAGCAGGCTTGCGCAAGTTCGACAGGCAAAGAAGCATTCGTCAACACAGATCACTCGTCTTATGCCCACGGACAGCTTTTTTGTGTACCGCACCCCTGCCATGAGCGCCCACATCAGCAGCGGGATTAACTACTTTGAAAGACTTTCCGACGAAATCCTCTTGAACATCTTTAAGTGGCTCCCGAAGAAGACGCTACTGCGAATGAGCACCGTTTGTCGCCGCTTTAACCGCTGTTCCCGCGATGAGACCTTGTGGACAAGGTTGGATCTGGGTCTGCGGACCATTCGCCCTGGCGCCCTCGAGCAAATTGTGCGGCGAGGAGTCTTGGTAATACGTCTGGCCCAGGCTAGTGTAAGTAACACTTGCAAATTGTAATTCGAGGGTAAGTTCAGTAATTCTATTTACTCCTGCAAAGCAGGTTCAGGAACCAGCATTCACACCATCATCGGCAGGATTTAGGGCGCGACTTCAATATCTCGACTTGAGCATGGCATCCATCAGCCGGAGCTCACTGCGCACACTATTATCTCACTGCCGCCAGCTAAAGAAAATAAGCCTAGAAAACATTGAGCTTGATGATAGCATCTGCACGGAGATCGCCAGAAATAAAGCCTTGGAGGCAGTCAATCTGACCATGGCCAGCGGCCTAACAACCAACAGTGTACGTCTAATGATGCAGTCTCTGACCAACCTAAGCAGCTTAAACATATCGTGGACTGATCTTAGCGCAGATGCTGTCACGGCGTTGGTTACTAACATCTCCCCAAATGTTATTCGGCTCAATATCGCTGGCTGCCGACGTGTTTTGTTTGACTCTCGTAAGTAGTGCCCAGTAGATCATCCCGATCCATATTGGCTAAAACTTTTTTTAGATGTGGCATCGCTACAGAAACGGTGCCCCCAGCTGTTGGAGCTTGATCTATCGGATTGCAACAGCCTTACCCCAGCAGCCATTACTGCAATTATGAAGTTTAGGATGCTTGAATATTTATCTGTTTCGCGTTGTTATCTCATTCCTGCTACCAGATTCATGTAAGTTAACTCTACTCCACATTTTATTGTGTGCAGAGGTTATTATGATTTCAGTCAGATCTTTTCAACGCTATTGAGACCCTAAAAATTATATATATTCTGGATAAGTGTCACTAGACAAGTCCGTCTAGCCATGTCCGTCTATCGGTTTCGGTATAGGGCATAGGATGCAAGGGTATAAAACTTCGGATTGCCGAAGTTTATTTATTTGTAATCCTTTAATTTAATTTATTGTTGCTTGCAGTGAACTTAAGGGTATGCCCTCTCTGACCTATTTGGACATTTTTGGAATGCTGTCGGACGCTGCTATGGAAGTTCTTGAGAAGCAAATGCCCAAAATGGGCATCAACAAGTTCATTCACAGTTCAGTTTCCAGACCGACTGTGGGCACACGTCGCACCTCGATTTGGGGCCTTCGAACACGCGACTAATTCCCGGTCTTGCTTTTCCCTTTACCATAAGAATCTGTTTTACTGCGTATGCCACCCCTAGCGCAGTTTTTTATTCTCAATTTAACAACATAAATAATCACATCCTGCTGTTCTATTTCCGTGTTTCGTGCGCTTAGTCACTAATCCGCTTCGCTTATCGGGGCCACGGGTTTCTCCCACTCCCATTCCTCCCAGCTGACACAGTTCTTGAGACTATCCATGAATCCCGTTTCGCTGGGGCACTTGAATTCAGTGGCTGGCTTGTCAAGTGTCTCACACTTCCAGTACGACGTGGCATCCCAATTGTTTCGGAAAACTGCGATGTCTAACTCGACTTGGGACTTGCAACCTGGTTGTCCGTCACCATCATAGGCATGGACAAGGCCACACGAAATAACGAGGACGGCGCTAATGGCGATCTGAAACTTCATCTTAAGACAAACTGATAGTCCATTGGAGACATTCAAAGCCTTATATAGCAACACTGTTGCAACGGTATGCCTAAGTGCAGCTACCAGAAAATGCTTTTATAAATTGGCATCAAAGTAAACACTCAAAAGAGTAAGGAAAAGATAGCAGTGCTTGCTCTTGGCTGCAATGTGCGATAACTTAAGTAGTGTCAATGAGTCACATAGTTTTCAGTTAAGATACCAACAAGGTTTTTCTGTTTTTTAGTAAACTTTATTTTTTAAATTTTGGATATTTATATATTATATAGTCAATAAAATGCTTAACAGACAACCTCTGAAGTGGTTCACATAATTTTAGAAGGTCATTTGGGTTCGCTACAACAATACAATACATACAGTAGGCAACAAAACATATCAATATAAGACCGTTTCGATCTTAGTTTGATCAGTATTGAGAAAATGACCGCCAGCATTATCGTTAAAGGTTCATAATAACAGCAACATAGCATATAGCAGGCCTGCCTTTTCTTGAATTAGGACCTAGTGCCTACGTCAAGTGTAAGTCATTATAAAAGAGCTGTATTTTAACTAATTTAAACCAAAATCTAATCCTAGTTTGCAGTTTTTTTTAAAAACTTGTTAGAGTCAGATAAATAGCCAATCCTTGTTTTTGATTTTATAAACACTTTAACTAAGAAAACGTTTTTTTTTTTGTATATGTGCGCATTAAGATACAGTTAAAACCCAAATAAAATTTAAAAAAAACCAAGAAAAGAGGTTAAGGCAAGCCGAAGCTTATATACCCTTGCAGTGATAAAATAGTCAATGTTAGTACACAAATTGTAATTTTTATGAATTGTGGCTAGCTTCACTGATATGTTGGTCGATCCCCTGGGAGCAATTTATATGCAAAGCTGTCCAACTTTTAGAAAATCAAAAAAAATACTCACAAAAATGTCAATACAATGATGTTTGTATTTTTATACCCTTGCAGAGGGTATTATGATTTCAGTCAGAAGTTTGCAACGCAGTGAAGGAGAGGTTTCCGAGCCCATAAAGTATATATATTCTTGATCAGCATCACTAGACGAGTCGATCTAGCCATGTCCGTCTCTCCGTCCGTTTCTACTTAAACTAGTCTCTCAGTCTTAAAGCTATCGGGCTGAAACTTTCCCAAGTCTTTTTTCTATTGCAGGAAGTAAATAGGACGGAACTAGCCGGATCGGACAACTATATCTTATAGGTCCCATAGGAACAATCGGAAAAAAAGTTTTTTTAAAATTATTTCTTTGGTGTTTTTTAACATATAAACTCATACGCTTGGAAATAACATTTTTTAATGAGTTCTGAATTTTGAATTTAGTTTTATCAAAATCGGACGACTATATCATATAGCTGGCACAGGAACGATCGGAAAATTGGTGGGAAAATAATATAAACAAATTATAGCTTCGGTGTTTTTTGACACACATATAACCTCCTACGCTTGGAAATACCATTTTTTAATTAGTTCTGAATTTCGAATTCAATTTTATCAAAATCTGACGACTATATCATATAGCTGCCATAGGAACGATCGGAAAATTGGCGGGAAAATAATATAAAACAAATTATAGCTTCGGTGTTTTTTAACATATAACCTCCTACACTTCGAAAAACCATTTTCAAATTAGTTCTGAATTTCGTATTTAATTTTATTAAAATCCGACGACTTTATCATATAGCTGCCATAGGAACGATCGAAAAATTGGTGGGAATATAATATGAAACAAATTATAGCTTCGGTGTTTTTTGACATATTATCTTATACTACTGGGAATATCATTCTTTGTATTCTTAAATTTAATAATTATATCTGCGAGGGTATACGAACTTCGGCTAACCGAAGTTAACTTCATTTCTTGTTTAACATATAACCTTCTACGCTTGGAAATAACGCTTTTTAACTAGTACTGAATTTCGGATTTCATTTTATCAAAATCGGACGACTATATCTTATAGCTGTCATAGGAACGATCGGTAAATTGGTGGGAAAATAATATGAAACAATTTATAGCTTCGGTGTTTTCTGACATATTATCCTATTGGGAATATAATTTGTTGCAATTTTAAATTTAATAATTATAAATGCAATGGTATACAGTGATGCTCACAGACTTAAGCCACTGCCACTACCATAAACTGTTTTCTTAATAACTTTTTTGAACATATTTATTTCGGCCTGAAATTTTTGCATTTTGCAACACTGTTATTTAAGCAGCTGATCACAGTAAAAAACAAGAAAGGAAGTTATCTTCGGCAAGCCGAAGCTTGTATACCCTTGCAGCTATAATTATTGAATTTAAAAACACAAAAAATTATATTCCCAATAGTATAAAATAATATGTCAAAAAACACCGAAGCTATAATTTGTTTCATATTATTTTCCTTCCAATTTTCCGCTCGTTCCTATGGCAGCTATATGATATAGTCGTCCGATTTTGATAAAATTAAATTCGAAATTTAGAACTAATTAAAAAATTATATTTCCAAGCGTTGAGGTTATGTACTACCTGCAAAAGATATAAGACTTTTGGGAAAGTTTCAGCCCGATTGCTTTAAAACTGAGAGACTAGTTTGCGTAGAAACGGACGGACAGACGGACATGGCTAGATCGACTCGTCTAGTCATGCTGAAAGAGAATATATATACTTTATGGGGTCGGAAACGTCTTCTTCACTGCGTTGCAAACTTCTGACTGAAATCAAATCAGAGGGTAGCAAGCGTATAATGACAAGTAGGTATTCGGAATATTCCAAAAAAATGACTATATGTCAAAAAGAAGTATTGCGCTCTGCCCATATACTTAAGCCACCTTGAGCTAAAATCGTCAAACTTGTGTTTTTTCCGGGAAAATTGTGCTAGTTATTTCTAAACTAAAATATTGAATATTAAATACGTTTCCCAAAACAATTTGACCGCTATGGCTAAAAATAAGAATTCAAATCCGGCCGAAAGAAAGCTAATATGGGATATTACGAAAAAAACACAAATATTCTACAAAGTTGTAAGACCTTACATTTTTTTGCGTGGCAAAGTCAGAAATGCGATTGCATTTTATAAGAAACATGGAATCTGGGAAAGTGTTCCACGTGAAAAGCCCAGAAAAACCACTTTAAACGACGATAGACGGATTTCCAAAATCAGTAAAGCCGATCCGTTTGATTATGGACTATGGCGTGAATGTCTCAACTCAGACCATAAGAAGACGGCTAAATTAAATCGGGTTATATGGACGCATTGCCAAAAAAAACCATTGCTGTCAATTAAAAATGTTAAAAAGCGCCTTCAATTCGCCAGAGAGCATATTCAAAAAGGTCCCAATTTTTGGAACATGATTGTTTGGAGCGACGAATCGAAGTTTAATGTCTTTGGGAGTGATGGTAAACCATATGTACGACGTTCTCCCAACAAACAATTGGACCCCAAATACACAAAGAAGACTGTTAAACATGGTGGCGCTTCGATTATGGTCTGGGGCTGTTTCACCGCATCGGGCGTAGGTCCCCTAGGGAAGATAGATGGCATTATGAACGGCGAAATAGACAGGGCAGTGAAGAAGAAAATCACCCATCAACAGTGCGCACGTCTTGTGGACTCAAGACAAAGCGTTGCTCCGCTCTTCTTAAGCAGAAAGGTCATCCCACTCAATATTGAAGTAAATTTATTAAAAGTATAAGGAATATTGGGCAAATTTTAACTTTTTCAACCAATATGTTCCAGGTGGCTTAAGTATGTGAGCAGGACATTTTGGGGATGGTCTCAGATTTTTTAAGTTTTTCGTTGAATATATATTTTTATAACTTGGTTGTTCTTCTATTAGAACACTGATATATAGAACTAATGTGACACAAAAAATTGGAGCTGTGAAATAAAAACTTTTCTTAATTTTCATTTAAATTTTTGGTTGAAGTCTTGTGGCTTGCCGAAGGTAACTTCCTTTCTTGTTCGACATTCACTTTAAGATCCTTCTCATGACAGCGATATGACATAGAAGTCCGATTTGTATTAAATTTGTTCGTAACTCTGAAATAGTGAAATACATGCTTTATGCTGAAGTAGAAGTAAACATGATCAAAAATAACGAACTATAATTATTCTCCTATTACACCAGTTTACAAAAAAAAATTGATGAAATACGCCTTTCAGGAAACCTTTGTTTTCCGGTAAGATACATCTCCCTGATTAAGAAAAGGGCACTTAAAATTTTTTCTATGGTACTAATTTTTTTTAAGTGTAAAAAACGTTTTTCGCACTTTTTTATTTTCTAACTCGAGCTGTGATAAACCGAATTCGGTCATCAAAGACTCATTTTACAGGTAATAGAATGCCCTTTAACTTTCTTATACACATAATTAAGTTCCATTCATTAGTTCAAAAGCTACTCTTCGTCAAAGTTGAAAAATTTGGAAAAAAATCAAAAACGCTGGCATAAATGGCTTCTTTAAAAATACACGCGTAAAAACCGAAATTAGTTTTATGTTGTTTTCTTGAAGACTGAACCATAACGGAGAATATGCGCCATTGATCACGACAATCCGTTGGTAAATCGATTTTTAACAGATTTTTAATCGTATATACCCAAGTTCAGTATTCGGGAGCAGCGGCCGTTAAACGTTATTTTAAATTTTCAGTGTTGAGGAACGTAAGAATTTGGTGCAAGTTGTTATGCATAACGTCAGTTTCCTTGCTAAAAATATATGAAAATGATTTCCTCGTAACTGCAATCGCATACTTTTTAGCTTGCCCAGCGCTAATAGCAAGAATTTTTTCGTTCGTAATTTTTTCAAAAAGTTCCAATTGTTTTTCATAAGTTTTCAATTATTTTCTGCAATTTGCTCAACTCTGGAATAATATAGCCAATGTTTTCAATGCACGCTGGTACATCTAACATCAATTTATTTAATTGATTTTTTGGATTAAAAATATAAAGGTTTGCAAATACACATTTATGGGATGCACCTACCAATATCAAATATGATGCAAGGCAAAAATAAAGAACATTTAATTATTAACTTATAAATAAATATATTTGCAAAAGCACTACTTCGAAGGAAGAACCCAATGCAACAACACATTAGCAGAATAGACAAAGAGTCAACTCGGACGACAGAAATCTGCAAATTTCCGCAGCTAATTTTACCTTACCTCCTTAAAAGTAAGACGAACACAATTACATATAAAAAACTTTCTGGACTTTCCTGGAACACAACTAAAATTGTACCTAAACATAAAAAAGACCCCCACAAAATAAATTAGGTCGCTAAAACAAGTTTTAAAAAAAAAGTTTTCATGAAAGTTTATAATTACCATTTTGATTAAAGTAAATACCTTCAACTTTTAAATTAATTTTAAGTAATTAATTTAAGCTTACACATATAAGAGACAATGTGTTTATATTTTGTTTCAATTCGATGTGATGTTATGGCCTCTATCGGATCCACTGTGTTACGCTTGTCTGAACTGAATTCTCATCCTTGATAAATTTGCTTATAACAATAAATGAAATAACTGGCCGCGTTCAGCTTAAAAGCAAGATAAGGTGCTGAGATAAACTGATCAGTGATCAAGTTTGTTCTGTTAACAGCTCATATAACATAACATTTTACTAAAAATATTTAACACTGCCATTTCAAGTTTTTATTTAAATGGTCCTAGCGTAAGCTTTCACCAAATACTTTTTAAATACAACTTTTTATAAAAATATCGTATGTTAAAAAGCGATATCGGTTTCCACGGCAACTCCAGCACAATCAAACCAATCGCAGACACGTAAAAATCAAATAGGTTTAAACAATTATAAAGAATTTAACTTAGTTCATGGCTTTTTAATAATAATTCTGTTAGTTCTTATCGATACTTTACTCATCGGTACACGCAGGCAGCAGTGTATCATATATCGCGAAGATGTAGCGAACTAATTTTACGGTCCTTTTTAATAATCAGGTGCGTTCAGCAGAACTATCGTAAGAATTCCATCAGTGATAAGGTATCATTTTGTTCTGCTGGACGCGGCCATTTACTGCTGAAAACATTCCACTTGCTACCGTTTTCCGTTGCTTTCCATTTGTTTTCGGCCAAACTCAATTTGCATATCCCTTCGGATACGGTTTGCTTATGCCGCTCAGCTGATCGCTTTAGCTTCTCCATGTGAGCAATAATCTCCTTAAAATTGCAACTGCGATTTCAAGGATCTCTGTGCAGAGGCTATTAGGGAACACCCTAATCATGTTGCTCTGGTAAACGCGCCCAGAGATGTTACCGATGTTTAGAAACATCACTGACATCGATGTTTTAAAAACATCGATTAACGCATCGATATTTCTCCACTTCTATAACTATTTTCCACACGTAATTTTGGAATATACGAGAAAAAAGTTTTTGTCATCGAACTGACGCCGCAAAAGCATTGAAGCCCGTGAAACACATTCACGGTTTTTTGATGGACGAAGACTCTGGTTCGAGGCAGCCGGTGGACTGGCGTCTGGACAACGCGGTCGACCTGCCCCCAGGCCCACCCGGCGTCGACGGAATCGAGAAGGGTGACTCTAGGAGCAGTGCATCGGGAAAGAGCGCTAATTCGAGTTTCAGGCACCGTGGTCGAACGGATTCCCGAAACGCCACATCGCCCCCAACCACTCGGCGACGGCGATCCGTGTCTCGTTCACCGACTCCTCCGCGCCGCGGTCGTTATGACTCGCCTGACTACGGGCGGTACCCCCGACGCCGCTTTGACCGCGACCGCCACCGCCACCGCTCTCCTCCACCCCGTCGCTATGGACGTTCTCGCTCCCGTAGCGTCTCTCCCCGACGAGGCGGTCGTTGGTCGCCCAAAAAGAAGCCAGCGTCCCCGCCACTTCCCCCGCCTCAGGGGAGACCGCCACAGCAAATGGCTCCCGGCTATGGCACTATGGTCCCACAAATGTACGCTCCCTATGGCGCTCCACCTGATGTTTATGGCCACCAGTATGGAATGCCGCCTAACGCGTTTCCGAACCAGGGACCGGGATACGGCATGCCAGGACCATCGCCTGAGCAAGCCACTTTTGGCGCCGGATACGCTCCTCCACCCACAGGCGCTTGGGGCGTAAATGGTAAGCTAGGTAGTCCAGACTTAATACTCTATACTTTAAACGGTCCGACTTTTTATTGCAGAATATGGCCAGCAAGTTTGGATGACACAGTCCATGGCTGGAGTGCAGGCGTCTGCTCCGGACGCACTGGCCCAGCCACAGCAGGCCCGCGAATCGTCGCCAGACAAGCAGTTGGAAGAGGAGCAGAAGGGGCCAGCGCTCGACAGCGCAGGTTTGCCGCAACAGGACGGTAAGTGTGGAAATGAAATACAATGTGGTCCCTACGAACATTCACATGCAAACCTCTCACATTATGTTTTATTACTGTTGTTATGATTACTTGTACTTGTAACTTAAATGCGCGCTAAAGACTCGCAAACCAGAAATTACCAAAAGACTAGGGTAAAGATCAGATCAATCAATCTAGCCGTATACGCGCAGCAAGAACAAAACCGACCCGAGCGAGGGTCTGGAAATTTCATTTCGTTTTGAATAGAACACGCAGTTTTGCAGTTATTGTGTGGCGGTAGTCAAAAGACGCACTTACGCCAATCTGGACGCCCGCCGTCGCCCCCACAGGGACTCCATCCCCATCGAGGACTGGCAGAACAAGCTATCACGAAGCGGTCAGATCTGATCCGGCGACTGCATCCGTGTGTAACTAGTCGGTGAAATGCACTTGAGAATGCATTTGTAAATGAAATTTGAACTTTTATTTTTTGGCCAGAATGTGTTTTAATTAGATCCTTTCTATTTATCCCTCATCTATATACCGCTGAACAACAGCCGTGGCACAAGAGGCTGAGAAGCAGAAGGACGAGCTAAAGAAACAGCGGGCAAACTACGTCAAGAAAGTAACGCTACTCAAGAAAGAAATGAAAGTGCTGAGGGACCAGCGTGAAGACTTGGCCGCAGGCGAAGCACCGCCCTCTCCAACTACCAAGAATTTCATCGAGGAAAACGACCGCCTGCAGGTGAATTTATTCCCCGAAACATAATTATTTGGTCATTCTAAGTTTATAAGCTTGGTGTGTGTAAACTATTTGTTATGTAGGTCCAAATTAAGAAGAAACTGGACACAATTGAAAACGTTATAGACATGCTGAACGGCATAATTGGCTACGAAGATGTAGAAGATGAACCCTCTAAGCCCAAGCTCCACGGGAAAAATCAGGCTGAACAACAGGGTAGCCGATCCCACTCCTCCAGTGATAGCTCCGCTGACAGTTCGGACTCCAGCTCATCGTCTAGCAGTTCGTCCGCTTCGTCATCCGATGGCGGGGACGAGGAGGAGACCGGCGGTGCAGAAGGTAGTCCCACTAATCAGCTCAAGCATCGTGCCATGAAGTCGATGAAGTCGAATCAGCGACACGGTGAAACGCAACCAGTACCAGCTCCCACACAAAACTACAATTTTGTGTTTTTCGATCCTGAACAGCATTGGTGCGAGAGTTGCAGCATTTTTCCAAGGTCCGCGCGAGATTATCTCAAGCATTTGCATGCCGAAGAACACATGAATCGCGAAACCATAGAAACTCCCTGGCATGTGGGCATTGACCACGATCCCTTTCCTACATTTGAAAACGCGCCTACCAAACGCGTGCCTGTGCGGGGCATGCAATTTTTGGTTCCGGCTAACGCCTGGTTCTGCAAGCTCTGTAGTGTTTGGATTGGAGACTTGCACTGCGCTTCCGCTCACCTGAAGTCTAGGCTACACTCCAACAAATATGAGGTAAGTTAAGACAAAATATTTTAGTTTTTTAAGCAAAAGCAATAAAGAAAGCGAATATTTTCATCTGAACTTAGTTGATAATAAAAATTAAACCGTCAATAAATAATTATTGCGAAAAATCACAAACGAAAAACTCTATCTCCACGGCGATGTGTTCGAAATGTTTTGATTTTGTAATGAACAAATTATACATAACACACTCTATAATTGCCTCATTCTGCGTCTGTGCATGCATGTCTGTGGAGGAAAGAATGTTTAATATTGTGCTGAAGTATATTTTGTGAAAGTTAATAAAAGTATATTTAACTAATCGAGTGTATAATTAATGTTCTTCACAATGTAGTAATTTTTGTGTGCAGGCGGTTTTTTTGTTTTTTAATTAATTTTATATATGCCGGTAGCCTGTACTATTTTTTTATATCAGCGATTTTATTAAAAAAAAACTATAACGTTTCCAATAAGAGTAAATACATTAACTTGTTGAATTTAAATATTCATGGTTTCATACATTTTTATACCCTTGCAGAGGGTCAGTCAGAAGTTTGCAACGCAGTGGCGGAGACGTTTTCAATACCATAAAGTACATTCTTGATCAGCATGACTAGACGAGTCGGTCAGAACTTTTGTTTTTTGAAGGTGTGTTCGTCACGACCGCTTACCTCGTTAAGGAAATGATAAAAAATATTCTAGCTTCGTTGGATTTGATCATATGTATATGAATAAAAGATTTCTTTCAGAATTTGTAAAAATCGTACGACAATATCAAATAGTTGTTAGGGCAACTATCGGTATATTTATATACAAATCTTCCACATGTAAGATTTCTAAAATATACGTTTGATTTTAATTGGATGATATGGTTTAAGCTGCAAGTGTATATAAACTTCAGTTTGCCAAAGCTTCTTTTCGAGTTTCTGTATGAATAAGTCCATTTTGGCCAGAAAATGATGTAATTCTCCAAATTTTATTTAATATGGTTTTTGTTTTTTCCTATATTTTTAAGGTACATTTACTTCTCTAATTAAAAAAAAGTGAAAAGGCAAGGAAAAATATTAAAATAGCGGAAAGCAAAACTTGTTAAGGCCAAGTATTAAATCCAAACCAAACATAGGTTACGGTTACTTTAACCTTTATCACCGATTTAACTAATTCGGTTTCGGTTTCTGGCAAGGTTTTTTTTATTTCGGTTACGGTACCGTAACCAAAACAAGTGTTGGTTAACAGTATTGAACAAGTTAATTTTTAATTTTAAACTATTCAATTAAAAAATTCACCATTTGTATTGTAAAAAATATAATTAATATCAATTTAATAATATTCATATAAAAAAGAACTCAAGTATACCTATTTAAAACAGCGGTTTACAATCCCTTTAAATATCCCTGGATTGGGCTATTTACAATTACTACTATAATATTACAATACATGCATACAAAGCCTGTTTTAATAACTTCTTGAGACACCGTCCCCACGTGTTTTGTTTTCCCCCAACCATTCTCTTACAAACAACACAAAAAAATATTGAGTCACAAAATATCTATGAATCTCCATAGTCTGCGATAAAAACTCTGATAGAGACTTAAGAAAAACGAAGCCGAGTAACAACATGCAAAGAGCTTGCTCGAAATCGCACTCGCAACGCTATAATTCCAAAGAGGATCTTGCGGTACGAGCTGCTACTCTCTTCGATCGCTTACCAAGTGATCAAGTTTCTGAACGCTGACGATTTTAGTTGACTTATAGATGAAACATGTATGTACTTTAAAGACTTTTGGCTCACATTGTTTGTGTTAGCATAAAGCCGCCTTACACTTTACATCGTGCTAACAAAAATACTCAGTATATGTATATTTCAACCAAATGTTCAGAACATGTTAAAATTACCCATGTGTAAAATGCCGTGTCTTATAAGTTAGATAAAGAATGTATTAGTTTCATCAGTTTATTGTATTGATGCACAGCACCTAAAAAAAGTATTACTACACTAGTATACTCACTTTTTATAAAGTTAAGTTAGTTCAGTTTAATTTTAGATTTATATTGATGTCGTTACATAAAGACTTATTTTTGTGAAATCCCTGTATAGTTATTTGTCGTTTTGGCGTAACCGCATTACTTTTCACAGTTCTGTCAAATTGATTTCAGTGAGAAGTTTGCAACGCAGCGATGGAGACGTTTCCGACTTCATAAAGTATATATTCTTGATCAGTGTCACTAGGAGATTCGATCTAGCCATGTCCGTCTGTCCGTTTCTACGCAAATTAGTCTCAGTTTTAAAGCTAACGGGATGTAACCTTCCCAAAAGTCTTATTTCGAACGGTACGAGCCGAATCGGACAACTGTAATTGTTAAAAAATGTCGAAAAATAATAGTTTTGGTGTTTTTTGACATATTACCTTCTACTTTTGAGAATATCATTCTTTTAATAATTAATGGGAAAATAGTAGGAAAATAATTGTAGCTTTGTTATTTTTGATCATATTCCCTTCTTCGGTGTATATCTTTTTTTACTTAAGAATTATGATTTCAATGTCATAAAGATCGGACTACTGTGTCATAAAGTTGCCATAGGAAGGATCGGAAAATGTATGTCATAATACAAAAACCGATATATTTCGTTATAGCTAAAACATATTAAACTCGTAAATAAAATAGATTATTATATTTCTGTAATTACTTTTTTTTTCTAAAAATCGGAAAGCTCTGTATATATAGATTGGTCCCATAGAAACGGCCTGCGAGGGTATATAAACTTCGACTTGCTGAAGTAAGCTTCATTTCTTATTAACTTCTTAACTTAAAAATAATTTTGCGATTTCTATGATTATTTGTGTGTTTAGGATAGGTAATGATCAATAAAATCAATTTCAATTTATACTAAAACAAAATCTTTAAAAATTTGGGCCGGGTAGAAATTTGGCTATGTACGTAGAGTAGGTGTACTTAATCCATTATTTTTTTATTATTATTATCTAATGCTAACTTATAGTTAAAACTTTAAGCTAACAGTGGGTTTATTCTAGAGCAATAGCAACAAAAGGCCTTAAGCTCGCTTATGGTAATTTAGTAGTGATGATTATATTTTACAATTTATTATATCTTATATAATATGTTCGAATTGTTAAGAAATTGTTAATCCATACTTTCTAGCGTTTATAGTTTCCGAGAGACAGACAGACAGACTTGGCTGAATATATTGCTTATATGATATAAGAGTGAAGGATCTGAAAAAATATCATTTCGGAACAGACGCACCTAAAGATTTCAAGCCATTTGTCATCAGCAAAGCGATCCCACTTTCATGTCATGAAAGTTTTACACATTATTATAAACCATATTATTTTTAACTATCTCACTCTTCTAGTAAATTTTATAAGGTTGGAAATGTCGTTCCAAAGTCATGACTGAAATTATAACATCCCCTTAAATCCACACGTGGAATGGAACTGAATTTTTTCTTTCCGGTTTTTGTCTCCCTGGATTTCTTTTTTTCAATTGCTAAGCAGGCATCGATATCATTAGCTTATATACTTTCGACTGGCAATAAAGTTATTTGACTTATAGAGACTTCTAGTTACAAAAATTCTATTTATGGAGGTTTGATTTTTAAAATTTAAATTTGTTACTTTTTTTAAAACGAAATAAAACTTTAGCTTTTCTTTTAATCATATTTGATTCTAGCTATTTATAAACCAGAATCCCAAGTATGAAATCGAGTGGCAATCCAACCGCGAGCGGGCCATGAATCAACAGAGGGAACAAGATGACTCTAAGAATAAAAAGAACAAGAAAGACGAGGACAAGGCATCAAAAAAACGGAAGAAAAAGAGGTAAGGATTAGAAGGATTTGAACATAGAATATAGTGTTTCATTCGGTTTCGTTTTCACGAGTAGCGGTGAGAGAAAGAAAAAGAAGCGTAAGCATGGGAAGAAGAGCAAGAGAAGTACAATCGACGCAAACAGCACATCGTCATCCTCTGATAGCTCTTCGTCAGAAGATGGTAAGGCGCAGCAACCAAAGAAAGGACGTACCGAGGAGCCAACAAGTGGGCAATCAGATAAGCCAATTAACGCAGCGTCAATACGCGTGACCATGCGAAAGCAGGAAACTCCACTAACATCTGTAAAGCCGCAAGTACCTCTTCAGTCTCTAGCACCGCCGCCGCCTCCAATCATAAAGGATTCAATAAATGCTTCAGGCCGGGGTAAATGGACTTCAGCCAGTGGTGAGGAACAAAAGGAGGATCAAAAAAAAAGGGACGAAGCTATGCTGAAGCAGTGGAATACTGTTCAGCCTGTAATAAGTGAGAGTGAGAAAAAACTGTTGGAGCAGCTCAAAGGCAGGCTCAAGAATAAGGGACCGCGTGATTCGGAGGACCGTAAAATAATTCCGCATACATCATTCGAAAGTGAGGGAAAGTTAAAGCGCAGCGGAGGCCGACGTTCCCGTTCCCGTTCTAAGCGGCGGAGCCACACACGTAGCATTAGTCGCGGACGGGATAGAGATCGGAGAGATCGAGACCGGGATAGGGACCGTGGTTACCGGCGTCGTTCTCGAAGTCGAGCTAGGCACTTTTCTCGTTCGCCCTTGAGATCCAGCCGGAGAAGTCGTTCCCGAGAAGGTCGAGGCAGACGCAGTCGCAGTCGCTCTGCCGACAGAATAGAGCGTCCAGTCATAAAGCATTCCGAGTTTCGGCCCCGTACAGTTCCCGAACGCAAGCAGACGGATACTAAGAGGGACAAGAAGGATGCAGAGAGCAAGTCAAAGACTTCAAAGCCCTGTAGCAATTCCTTGCTGGAGGCAAGAAGCTGCCATTTATCGGAAAGATGCCAGTATTCAAAAAGCAGCCAATAGCAGCTTCCAACTATGATGCTGTTGCCCTCTATACCAACGGGTGTTTAGAGGCACCGCCTCCACCGCCTCCGCCAATGGGTGGAGCAACGGTTCGTCAGCCCGCACCGACAGCGGCGCAGATTCAGATGGCCATGATGGAAGATGCTTTCGGCAACGCTCCTCCATTTCATCCTGACGCGGGTATGATGGTTGACTACGACGAGCTCATGCCAGATCCCGTTCAGTTCGCCAACTTGATGACGAGTTGCCCGCCTCCACCCCCGCCGGGAGAAGGCTCTGACGGGGAAGCCAATGGCCCAGAGAATAGTGAACATCATGATAACGAAAACCATGCGAAGGACGTCTTGCCTCCTGGCATTGACGAACCCGAATCTGATCTGGGAACAAGGCCGCTAGACGCTGAGGACCAACCACGCGACGGGGAACTACCAAAAGATCTGGCCGAAGCCCTCGATATAATATTCCCTAGCGAGGGATCATCACTGGAGGCATCAAATGAAAACAGTGAAAAGCAAACTGAGCCTCAGACTATCACCACTATCGTTGAGGATGACGCAGTACTCAGTGAGCATAATCTTCAAGATCTGGCTAAGCAGGGTATTCACCTTGTGACTATTGATGAAACAAAGGCGTCTAATAATTCAACTATACGGACTCCGAAAAAGGATGAAGAATCCCAGATTCGGAACGGCGAAAATGTAGCCAACTTAAAAAATATGGACGCAGAGGATATCCCTATGCCAAGTTCCCCTCCAGTCTTACCGCAAGTTGATGATGAGATGAAAATCAAGGCCCTCAAAAAGCAAGCGGATATCTCAGAAATCCCAAAGCCACCGGCATCGCCTTCAGACAGTGAGAAACTTCGGCGTCAAGCGGAGCTCGATGAGTTAGCCATGCTAGGGATCGACAGCAGTGACATGGCGGCACAATGTATGTAGAACGTCTATTTAGTCACATTATTCCTCATATGAAATGAATCCCATTTTTTAAGATCGATAATTTCATAAACCATAACATAGTAACTCTTAAATTTTAGTTGTAAATCAATTTAAAATGATTTTCTTTGTACATGTATTTAAACTCACAGATGCGTTGTAAGATTTGAGTTGACTTGGCCGCAGAAAATGGTAGCAGTGACGCCGCATACACAGATGAACGGATCGAAGGACAAGTCGTGGTGTCCCATAAGAAATGGAACCGTTTTATAATTTAGTTTGAGACCTATGTTTGAGGTTTTATGTGACGGAATGTTTTAAATAAATGCGCATATTTGTATGTAATGTATAAGGGATCCCGAATCCCTTAGCGCTGAATTCATATTGAATTTACATTGATGCACATGATGCACATTGATGCACACCCATTCAGCGCTAAGTGATTTTCGTGGTCCTTAGTTTATTTCAGTTTAATCGACAATCAATCAAATGGCACTTAAAAAATATGGTTAGCGACTACACATTCTAGCCAACTTCGTATCCACTTATTCTAGTAAATATAATTGTTTCTATATACTACATTTTGATTTTTGTTCATTTCAATAGGTACACTTTTTTTAGTTAATCATTCTAAAACTCGTTCATTATTATTTAAAATATCTTCACTACAAAATATTGGTGACCTGCTAAAGAACACCACGTTCATCATTAAGTTTTAGTAACAACTTATTTTTAGTAAACAAATATTATTTGCGCGAGCAAAACATATAATCGAACTATGAGCTCGAGTTTTAAAAATGATTTTGATAAAATAATTAGTTGAGACGGAATTAAAGCATTCTAAGTAATAAGAAAGAGCTTATGCACAGGTTACTGAGTTATAAATAATTTTGAAGCGAAAGGTGCATTGTAGTTGAAGTGACCGTTCACGTAGGTCAGGCTGCTATAACTTAGTGACCCGCATTGCCTGCTGCTGGCGTTTTGGTTTCGAGCCGGAGGCCAATAGCTAAGACTATAAGTCTGTAATCGGACCGTCCGCCATGCTGACTTTCGTTCCCAGGGCTGCGCCAGATACGCTCGGGTTCCATTTTGGCTGGTCAGCCACCTTGGCATTTAGGTCTTTAACCAATTTTTCAAGGCTATAGTAGTGTCACAGTACATCGCCACAAGGACCCGTCGAAAGATACAAACAGATGCAAAATATGTAAGTTTTGGTTATTAGTTACTGGGTTTAAGTGGATATGTTTAATAAAGTGTAATGAGGGTAGTGGCTTCTAAAACATTCATGCATGTGAAGTTAAAGGGTGCTGAGTTAGTTTGAGAATATAGAATAGAGCGAACTACACCCACGCAATTATACGTTGATTTGCCTCCTTACGTGCGGCGTCCGCTTCGCTGAGCTCCCTTTTTAACTGAGCGTGCTCTTTCTTACGCGGCAGAAGTGGTGGTGGAATTCCCGGGTGGTCCTGATCTGAGATCAGCGCAAATGTTGGAGGGCTCCGAACTGTTTGCTGTGGCAATTTAGGTGTCAGAGAGTGAGCGTTTGATGTTGAAGTCTGTATCCCGTTGCTGCGGGATTCGTTGCTCGAAAAAGACTGCCTTTTGTTGCCAGTCAGGGACTCTAGCTCGTCCTGCTCCAAAACTTGTTCCTCCACTATTTCGTCATCCTCCTCCAGAGAGTGCGTTGTTTGAGTCGGCGTTTGATGCATCGTTCCGTACTGCAGGTTAAATGATTGCGCCCGTCTGACTCCAAACGCTCCGGCGCCACCTCCATTTGGAAATGGCTTTCGGGATCCACGGGTTCGGTCATTTTCGTAGATTATATCGTGATATGTTTGCCGCTGGTTATAACAACCGGCTAGAGCTTGGCGCAGGCATTTGTTTTCGGCCTCGAGATATGACAGCCGCTTATTAGTCTCCTTTTTCTCTAGTCGCAACTGCATTACGTGGGACTGTCGTATAGAAAATCAGCAATGCAACCCCGTCGCTATATACTATAATACTGCACTTACCTTCAGATCATCAATATCTCGCAGAACACGGGCATTGCCCTCGTTCAAGGACCACTGTCGCTCCTCAACCATTGATTTAACTCTGAAAAACAGTGCATAAGTGTACATATGTAAATATCTCTTAAAATTCCCTTTTTACCGGCTGAGCAGTGCATCTTCGCGAACGCGGGCGGCCTCCTTTACTTCGCGAACAACATCAGTCATCATTCCTGGAGTGTAAGCGCCTGGAAAGGGAGAATCGGTTATTAGCAATTGGCGACTTAGAAGCATGGCAACATTAGGGGAGCCACCTAGTGTATACCTGAATGAAAGGTGGGTGCCGGGCTGTGAGTCCCGCCCATTCCACCGCCAAATACCAGAGGTTGACTTTGTGTGCTTAATCCGCTCAAGCTATCTCTACGGTGCCGCATGCCGCCCGAGCCGACTCCCGCCCAAGGGTGGCCACTAGGAGCGTGCTTTAAAGCTTCGATTTCAACTGTGAATGTGTTTACAAGTGCAAGAGAGTACGTAGAAAGAGTAAATGAGCGACAACTGATTCTAAATTAATAGGTTATAGCAAGTAAGTTCAAATATTCGGAAGATTTGTGTGACTAAACCAGTTTTTAAATTGGAGAAGTCCAGTGAGTAAATATCGATGAGTCATTTTAAATGGACTGTAGTGAACACATATCCGAGAGCTGCACTTGATACTACAATCAACAAACCTTTTGTTTCATGCAAGTTACGGCAGATCTTCGAGTTGGTGTCATGCAACATGTTTATTTGTTCCATTAGTGCCGCGAAAAATTTGTTTTGCTCTGCCAGATCGCAGCCAGCGCCATTGTTGTTGCCATTCCGACACTCTGGGGTATTCTGACCACTCAACTTGGAGTCGTTATCGGAGGGGTTCAGAAGGCATGGATCGCTGAACCGAAACCTGAAGTTAAGTAGATAGGGGCGACTATTAGAAACGTAGTTCAGTACGAATTCAATGAATTGACTTACCCTCTTCCATCCAGGACATCAGTGGAATTTGGTTCGTGCTCGGAGCCAGTGCCTCCTGCTCCTCCCATCATGTTGACCAGTGGAGGTAAGCTAGCAAACTCCTGGCCACCATCACAACCATAGCTTATGCCACAGCCATTAAGGCTCTGGGGTGGGATTAGCATCGGATATCGATGACTAAGGGAGTGCGAGTGCTGTACGAAGGGAAATTTCGTTATATTGGCGTTGTAAACGAAATGTTATTCTCCTTATGGCGTATACTCACGCGCTGTATTCCCAATCTAAAGGGCGTTCCTAAGCCAATACCATATGGCTGTGAACGCTTCGAATACTCCTGCTGCTTCTGGTACTGTAGCTGTTTAATCTGTTGTTGTTGTTGTTGCTGTTGTTGCTGCTGTTGTTGTTGCTGCTGCTGTTGACATACAAACATTTGCTTGCGAGCTGGAGCTGTGGGCGGGATGAAGTCCAAAAACTCAGATGAGGATGACAATTGGGCGTTTGTGGCATCTCGTAAACAGTTCTCAAGCCAGGCATCGAGATGATCCTTGGAATAGTTAATGTCGGTTCTGTTGGCTGCACTGGATTTAGGATGATTAAGAGTAGCCGCCGTTTTTTCGGATTTAGGGTCTGAAGTGGAAGCTGCTATGTTGCGCGGTTTAATTTTTTTGCGTTTGGTGGCATCTATAGCTAAAAGAGGAAATGGAGTGTTGAAATAAGACCAAACAACGTTTTGGATACCGGTGTAAAAATGCTAATAAAACTGTAATTTTGCATTAATAATGTTCCATTTCAAGTCTATAAAAAAAGTTACTTTTTGAACTTTCACAAGATTTTGACAAAAACTCGGGCTTTTCAATGAATACTGAATGGGTCAGTCATATATAAGAAAGTCATATATACTTTATGGAGTCCTTCACTGCGTTGCAAACTTCTAACTAAAGCTATTGTACCCTCTGCTAACGAGAGAAAACGCTATAGTCGACTTACGTGACTATCAGATACCCGTTACTCAGTTAACAAAAAGGCGCCACCTCTTGTTAATTCCTATCGGTTATTTACGACACAACGTGAAACATAGGTGGCGACAGTCAAACTTCATAAGTAGCCGATTTTCTGTACGAATATATCTAAGTCCCTCTCGCACTCTATTGAGTTTGCTAATTATTTATTACTTTTTGGGTATAACCTTTTAATGAATGGTGGAATTGAACCATTTGTGGCATGCAGATGGACAATTGATAATAAGAAAAAAATATCATTTAAATTTAAAAAAGAAATATAAAATGATTATGGTGCTTGACGGGTTTTTAGCGGTGCTCAGGTAGCCCAAGAATCTATGTACATACATGCCGAGTCCCAACATTCTAGCTCTTTTAGTTTCCGAGATCTCTGCGTCCATACGGACAGACGGACATGGCTAAACAAGAGAGGAAGCTTTAGTCGATGGCCTCGGGGTAAAAGGTATACCCCAGCGTCATTTGTTTTTTTGGCTTATAAAATAATAATAATAACTTAATGAATGGTGTGGTTTGAACCATTTTGGGAATGTAGATGGGTATTGATAATCAAAATACCATCCCATTTTCACTATTGTTAAATATTAATAAATGTGGGCGCTAGACACCCCGATTTAGCGTTATGGGCGTGGCACTCAGGTTAATCAAACCTGCGCTACACAGGCAGCCCTAGAACTTTGTAGCTCTCATATTTCCAAGATGCCAGCGTTCTGACGAATCTAATATATCTGTTTACTCTACAAGTAAAGGGTATAAATAGTTTTGATTGTACATATTTCAAACTACTCACAAAGCCAAAATTTGTTTGCAACTATTCATGCAAATCAAACAGTAGATAATTTAGGTTCCCATTATATAATCGGAGATTTTCGTTTGTTGGGTTCGACTTAACTATTGTTTACGTATCTTATTCAATGTTAGATTACGTACCAAGGCTTTGAGTCAAACAAAATCAAATTAAGTCGATCGCTGACCGTAAGCTTAGACAATGTATGTATAGGGATAAATGTTAAATATAGTCATTGAAAAGCTCCTAGCACTATGAGATCAGCAAAAAATAATCAATTATAATGAAATTTACAGTTTTTAAACTTTCTGGACAATTTTATTACATGATTTCTTTCCTATTTGAGCTAAAACTTCAAAGGGTCGAATGTCTAACGCCCATAACGCTAAATCTGTCTAGCGCCTACAATTTTGAATATTATTGAAAAAGTAAATGAGATTTTGTTTTGATCATCAATTGTAAGCTACATGCCAAAAATTGTTCAATTCGGGCTATTCATTAAAAAGTTATAAGCAAATAAAGTGTACAACCTTGGGAACAGACGCA